TTAGAATATAAATCTCCCTTGGAGCCTATTTCCTTATTCTATTCTCATGTCATGTTCATAGTAAAATTAGAGGGAAATTGGACTACAAAGTTTTTAATTGTGTATTGGCTACTCTTTCATATTTGCTGGGAAATTTTTCATTGTTTCTTGATGTCATATTTTCTAACAGTAATTTTTACATTATACATCTTTAGGGGAGATTTTCCTCATTGAAGATAGAGACCATAGTTATCCCAATCATGGTCATTTTTAGGAGTGAACTCCCTTTTGTCCTATCTCTACCACAATAACAACAACATAAAAAAATAGAATGATCCCAACATCACTAAATCTATTCCTTAACAAAATGAACACCACCAAGTTTACTCCACTCATGTCCATTCATGTTGTTTATAAAGTTTTCCAAATTTATTACTAAGATTTCCTTATTTGTACTTAAGGAAGAGAGTTGTACTTAATCTCACACATTAAAAAATACCATTTAATGTACTTTTAGTTAAGATGTGGTAAATTATGATCTTCCTTATAAAAATAATATTGATCTTTTTATTGTTGTTAGAAATGGTATCAAAGGTTGCACAAATTAACTTTTTTTTTTCCTTGCCTTACTACATATCACTTAAACATGTTTCTCTAGTCCATAAAAATATTTATTATGAATCTAAACATCATCTGTAATCCCAAACACTTTATTTACGGTATTTTTAGGATATAAATGAAAAAAAATATTATGAGAGGAAGGGATGCATTGAAAAAGAAGGAAAAAAAAACAACGTATGAGAGATTGCCAATAAGCTTTAGGGAAATAATGTTGTAGATTGCAAATAGTTTTTATTTAAGTACACGGGTGGTAGCTCTATTGAAAGATATAAAGTAAGACTAGTTGTTAAAGGTAACCTGCAAGCATATGGAGTTGACTACCAATGAAAAAATGAGCACAATATGAATTATGTTATCTTTGGCAGTCCGCTTCAACTAGCAAACTTCAATAACTTGTTGTGCATAATTTCTTCTTGTATGAAATCTACATTACTCTAGGATTTGAGGGAAGTGAACAAATGATAAGTTGTGTAGTCTAAGAAGGGCCCGTAAGACCTAAAAAAATTAACTCAAAGCTTGGTTCGGGAGAATTGCTAAATTAATGAAAGAACTAAGGTACAAACAAAGTTAAGAAGATCGCACTCTCTTCATTAAGCATTTGGTCCTAAGGGGAGTGCCAATATTTCTAGTATTTATTGATGATATCATTGTTACCTAAAGTAATAGGAAAACAAAATATGTGATACTACTTAATTAAGAAATTTGAAATAAAGAAATATTGAGGACTAAAGTGTTTTATTGGAATTAAAGTGAAAAACGTACAGGCAAGGATGAGTAAATTAAGGAGTTTGCACGCTCAATATTTCGAGCACAATAATTATAAACTTTGCGTTGATGTTGAACGACAAAAGAAAACACAAAGAGCGGTAAGACAAGCTTAGGCTGAATCACGCGCGTAAAAGTTGATCATAAAACAATCAAGTTAATTTAACATTGCGTACATGAATGGTTTTCAATGTAAATCCCTAAACTAACAATGAGATTAGGCACTATGCATGAGTCCCTCACTCAACTCTCTAGTTCTCTAAGCTTTAGCGGTGAAGAGTTTGACATGAACTTTGTGAGTCAAAATATAACCACAATTGAAAATAAACTAGGAAAATAGGAAACTTGGGGAAGAGTTCACCATAGTCAAGTTCGTAGGTCTTGTTTGAGGTGCGCAGAGGAAGTTCCGAATTGTGGCGGTTGATCTTGGCGAAGTTCTGTGGGTGGGCAGTCGATGGAGTCTTCCGGGCAACAAATGGGAGTATGCCGGATGGCAAAACAGCACTAGAAGGCTGTTGGATTCTCTGGACAGCAGGAGAACAAAATTGGGACAGCAATTTCCAAGTTTGTGGGAGGGCAGGCTGACATGCCAAACGTCCAGAATTCTCTGGACAGAAAGGAGGCTGGTCTTGGGTAGATTCTGGACAGCAACGTTGCTGTTCTGAAGTTTTGGACAGCAATTAGAAGCTGTCCAGAAATCTGGACAGCCAGTTTTATATAATTAGATTCAAATGATAAAGAATGAGAAGGTGTAGATTAAGTTCACAAGGATATCAGTTGTTTAAAATAGTTTGCAAAGAATAGGTTTAGCACCTTGGTAGTGCTCATCAAGAATAAATGGAAATTAAGGATTCATTAAGCCAACTTTAAGTTGTTTGGGACATGGGATGAAGTTAATGATGATGTTAAATGAATTATATCAAGTTCATATGGGTTGAAGGTCAAGTAATATTTTGGTGTAATGGGATTAATCCTGGTTCTATTTTGCAGAATAATATATATATATATATAGAAGGTTCAACTTTTGGTGTTAAAGACTAGTTCGTTAAAATGAATAGATGACCTCTGTCAACTTGCTATAAGAGAACTTCTTGGAGATTTAAAGATCAATTTTATAAAACTATTGTTAGGACTATTATGCTTTATACATATGAATGTTCAATTATAGAGTAATCACTGATATCTTGTAGTTGAATGAGAATGTTAAGATCGCTATGTGACAAAGAAAGGAAGGATCCTTTGAGAAATAATAATAATATTATTAAATATATGCAGCAATAAAATCTGAATATAATATTATAATATGGAACGGTTGTGAAGGAAAATTACTAATCTAATGGTACATGTATGTAATCTATTTAAAGAGATTTGTGTTAAATAGATTGAACACCTTAAGCTACAATTTACTAGAATGGGTTGACATTGTGGAGTTATATTGTGAATTTATTTTATGGATAATGATATTTTAGATGAAGATATAACTTTCAAAAGTTTTTCAAATGGAGAAGAGCCTCATGGGTACATTATGATAAGAGAATAACATGAAGGTTTAATGATAAGTTTGTAAAATTGCAATTTGTTTAACTATACTATATTTATCTTAGGGAACTAATTGTTTGTTACGCTGACTGAAAAAAAATTTATGCTAAGAAAAGTTTTCAAAGCACTAAGTGCAATGTGATTTAAAGTAGCTCCTTTTTGCTTCAATGCATAAAGCCTAAAGTAAAGCAGCGCTTTTACTAATTGAAGTGTTCAGGAGTTGTGTGTGAGAGAGAGTGTGTGTGTGTGCGTGTGTGTATATATATATATATATGTAATTGTGTGTGTTTATATATCATTTGTATATAAGAGTTATTTAAATGAACGGAACTACATCAAGAAATAATGTTTTAGCAAATATGATGATACATTCAATAAAAATAATTTACAATTACTTAAAATCCAAAATGATCAAATATATAAATGTATAAGTGATGTAAGAATGCTTTAAAATCAATAATTTACTTGTTAGATTGAATGACTAACTAGAGGCCGTAAGATAAAGACCGCTTTAAGGGAGGGAGGGAGGGAGGGAGGGAATGAAGTTGACGCATCAAGAAGTATTCTTGAGAAGAAGATTGTGAGTGAAAAGCTACTATGGTTAGCAACAAAAGCTAGTGTAATGTGTATAAGAACTAGTGGGAGAATGAGCATATAGAGAAGAATTACGAAGAAGCAACTAACTCCACGGGAGAGAATGGGGAACTAAGACCAATGACTTAGACTATAAGAAATAGTGGGAAGTAAATGATTATGCCTAGTTATTGTAGTAGCTGTTGAACTGAAGCATGAAATTTGAATTGAGATTCCACTCTAAACAGGAGCCAAGTGCACTTATATGAGCTTGCGCTTTATAGATAAGTGATGCATGGGGCTAATACACTGATTTGCTTCGCTTCAAAAATATGCTTTTAACAATACTAATGCTAAAGATAAACTAGATTTTAAACAAATTATGGTGAATAACACGTGGGCGGAGCACCTATTGAAGATACATTATGAATAAAATTTATGGAAGGATAGAAGATGCACAAATGAAATAAATTTTGTGCAGTGATATTTAGAAATAAAAAGTATTTCCCAAATATTTAATGTTTGGATGTTGTGTAAAAATAATTTGTACAAAATAGAATTAGCTCCTCAAAACTCTATAATAATGAAATGAGAATGACAATTCATAAAGCTTAACCAGATATAGTTGAGATTTGGATAATGTTCTGGATGATGATGATGATGATGGTGAATTGAAATGCGGTGGAATGAGAATGGAATGTTGTAATTTTGTTTTATTGTTAATTGCTATGACTACATTTGAGGCAATTGGAATTCCTCTCATATATATATATATATTCCATTAAATTTGACAAGACACTAAGCTAGCTAAAGTAGTGATAAATTCTGTCTTAGCTTTGTTTAGGTCTCATTGTGTGACTTATGTCTACTTGATCCGTATTAAAACTAGTTTTTATTGTCCAAATTTTATTCTTAATTATATTGTTTTTCTATTTATGTGTCTTGGTGTGGTCGTGTATTGCATTTCTGCGTGAATGCACATGGCTCACTTATCAGCAATGTCCGGGTATGAAGTGGTAGTTTGGTATTTATTTAGAGTAGTTTTAGTTCTGCTCTAACATTTAGAGGACAAGTGGTTACCAAACTTTTTGAATTGATTAATAGCATGGCTAGGGTGTTTTTTCTTTTATGTTAGTTATACTTATACATTGGTTCAGTTTTCTATAATTCTTTTTTCTTTTTGATTCGGATTACAAAACTTGCTGTTAGTAGCACATAATTTGACATCCTAGTTATGCTTTATCAGAAAATCAGGCATCCCAAAATTTGTATTGGAATCGAATATCTTGTTTCACCGTTTAGCTGGCTGGTTGGTTGGAATGATAAGTATACACATGCATGTTTATGAAAGATTCAAACATGATGCATGCATACAAATGACTGTATACAACCATGTATGTATGTGTTGTTCATTTACACGTGCAGTCTTCCATGTATGCGTACTTATTTGCAAAGTTTTGTAGTACTTGCTTCTAGAACATCATATGAGATGCTATTTTCTTATTGATCTCTCTGTGCTCCAGATCGCTGCCGGACAATCTGGACCTGGAATTGCATGGTCAACGTTTGAGGACCAGGTCACTTTTCCATTTGAACATTGTCTTGTGTGCTTTCCAAAAACAAGGAACTGAATGGTTGAAAATTACTTAATGTTATGCAGGCTCTTGTTGTCCTCGTTCATGATATGGGCCTTAACTGGGAGTTGGTCAGTGATGCTCTCAACAGCACTCTTCATTTCAAGGTGTTGCCATCTAGAGTTATATGCATTACTTCCTACTGTAACTAGTTTCATTTATTGGAATCTTTTTTTGTTTAGAATTGCTAAATTTGCCTCTGAATATTACTGAAAAAATTGCGGCACATGCATTCTCCTATCTCATAATTTTTTGGAGGAATTTAATCTTGGGAGCATCAAACTATGATTTTGGAGAATTTTCTGGCACATTTAGCTTTTCTCGTTCCCTCCCTCCCTAATTTTTATTTGTTCTGCTAGGTCTGCATGGTACTTTATGAAAACTCCTGGTGTCAGAGTGAACATCGAAGGTGGTACTGTACAAGTTATATGCTTAATAATTTTTCTTTCCCTTGCCCTTCTTTGGTTGAAAATTAAGGTTGTGAAATAGGAAAAACCGAGCATAATCATCAAGAGTGAGTAAATGTCAATTATGGAGTTTCAACTATAGCAGTGACATGTGTGAGTAAATTGTTTACAAATTAGCATCTCCTTTTGGCATGGGCAAATACAACTTCCTGTAGTTAAAAGATTCTGTTATTTTTAGAATTACTCTGCTGGAGTTTAAAAAGAACCTTGTTATTTGTGGTGTATATGCGTGATATTCAAATTTCATGTTTTTTTTTTTTTTGCTTGAAAATATAACAATACTAACAACGGCTTTATTGCTATTCAGCTGATCCTAGTATTACATCTTGGTGCTAACATTATCTATAAAAACCTGGAGCATTTTCATAGGAATCTGTTGGCTTTCTTTCTCACATGTGATTCAAGTCATTGACAAATTTCATAAACTGCAAATTGCAGTGTATATACAGGAAACCTATAGATTGCAAAGAACGTCACAAATTTCTCATGGATAAAAGTGCTGGTGATGGAGCTGACAGTGCCGAGGATTCAGGCTCGTCTCAGCCTTACCCATCTACCTTACCTGGGATCCCAAAGGCATGGATTTTATTTTTTAAAGTTTCCATTGTTAAGGTCATTAAATGCTTGTTTAGTTGCCAGGGCATGTATCTGTGGACTGACATAGTCTATTTCCAACCTTTGTAATATCAGGGTAGTGCCAGACAACTGTTTCAACGTCTTCAAGGGCCAATGGAGGAGGATACCATGAAGTCACATTTTGAAAAAATTATTCTCATTGGGCAGCGTTTTCATTCTGGTAGAACTCAGGTCTGTTCATTGATCATTTTTTCATGTTTTCTCAGACCATCATTTTTTGGAGCAGAATTGTGTTTAGGGGTTAGTTTTCTCATTGTAAACTGAAGATTTTGGGTTGTAATTGCGTTCACAGCCCCTTAGATTAGACACTCTGAAGACAATTGGTGGGTATCTTGTTTTGCTTGGCTCTCCTTTATTTTGGGAGCATCAGTTGTCAGCGATACTAGTGAAACTTATAAAGAAGGACAGCATATACAATTGAAACACATAAAAAACTACAAGATGACTTCATTTGAAGAATTTTCTAATATCCGTGACCTTTCAGAAACCAAATTGGTTTACAATGTTCAAGCACGGTAATAGCTTGTATACTGATTGTGTATTGTGCACCGCAGTGCGGTTTTGCTCTTTGAAATGATAATAGCTGAGGCTATGAGCCTAAAAGATACTTGCTCTTGTTGTTGATTTTTATTACTTAACTTTTGTATACCAAGTTTCTAGTTTGGTCATTTCAATCAATTGATTATATATTATATTCATATGGAGTGTGGAAGAAACATGTACTGCAGGACAATATGAGGGACTTTGGTGAGGCCATGTGCATAAGATGCTCTAGACTCTTAAGGTTCGGGATTATTAGGAAATTTATGATCCAAAAAAAGTTCGGCTTGGGTTGGGCTGTGACCATACCTAGAAAAAACCTTTTGTCTTTGGGCTATTAAGGCCATTTTGAGTCAGAGTTTAATCTCATCACCATATAGGCCCAAATAAAAACAGCTCCTGGTCTTCATGGAATGGATGCTCGCCTCATGATGAGGTCTAGAACATTTGTTATGAACGGTTGCATATCTACAGTTATCTCATCTCTCTATTTTGATTTATTAATTTTATGTCTTGGTTGCTTTTTGCACTTGTTCAGTTTTTTTTTTTGACCTTCTATGTGCTGATTTGCTTTATTTATTGTATAACTAATGCAAGTGCTTGTTGTGTTTTTTGTAGGATAATAAACAACTGAAACAAATAACTCCAGCTCATAATTCTCATGTTTTGACTCTTTCACAAGCATGCCCAAACAACTTGTCTGGACCAATCTTATCGTAAGATTATCTGCACTTTTCACCTTTTAATGATGTTTATGTGCCAATCTTTTTTTTTTATTGCTTCCTCTCATTTTAATTTTTTCTTACGTTCCAATCTGTTTCTCTTTATTTTATTATATGCGATACAGGCCAGTCGATCTTGCTGATGCATTGAATTCAAACTCAGATGCTGCTGGCCTTGGGTATCAAGGTTCTCATTCAAATGGCATTGTAATTCCAGGTCACCAGGGTTCTTTGGCACCAGTTCTTCCCACCTCATCTACAAACACCGTGCTACCAGGAACTCCTAGTATGGTTTTAGGAAGTGGTCTGCCGACGCCTTCTCCACCATTGCATGCACCACCAAGGTAAGTTCTATGATAGGAAGTACTTGCTGATCTCGAGTATTTCCTATCAATCTTCGGAAAATAGCGGGCTTCTTCACAAGAATCCACACAAAACCACGAAAACAGTAGATAACTTGTATTATTTGATGAAAAGAAAGCGGAAAATACCAAGATACAATTGATCCTCTATTCGAGAGGAGGATCGATCTCTCCCAATCTCTAGACGCCGCTAGAGCCCATAGGAAAACCTAAATCTAGGACATCTCAAATTTCAGCCAAATTCAAGATGCCCTACCCCTAGAAAAACAAATTATTTAATGCATATAATTCAAAAGGAAATCTCTAAAAACAATCCCTACATTCAAATTTCCCTCCTAACTTCCTAAAAAAAACATCCTAAAACAGCCTATTCACGCCGTGTGTGCGTTCGGTGCCCATAGGAGGCGGAGAAATCCGCCTCTGTTAGCACCTAGGCCGGTCCTGTCGGACTGGCTGGACCGGTCTAACATTCTAATCCGCTGATTTAGCTGTATACCTTTTATTATAGTAACTATCAAATAGTTATTCACTGTATTGCAATCTTTTTATTTTTTTTTGCAGGGATACACAAAGATATGGTGTACATAGATCTACTACGTTACCAGGTGATGATCAAAAAAGACTTCAGCAATATAGCCAAAACTTTTCTGGCAGAAACATGCAACAATCTGGTATCTCTATGACCAATGCTTTGCCTGCTGGAGTTGATCGTGGTGTGCGCATGTTACCTGGTGGAAACGGCATGGGCATGATGTGTGGGGTTAGCAGGAGCATGTCCATGCCTCGGACGAGTTTCCAAGGAGTCGGTCCGGCAGGCATGCTTAACATGGTTTCCCCCAATAATATGCTCTCAGGCAACGTTGTAGGTATGCCCAATCCTATGGGTGCACATTCTAGTTCTGTTTCTAGCCCAGGAAACACAATGATGAGGCCACGTGATGCTTTACAGATACTCCGAGTGAGTTTAATGTGATATTTGACTTATACTTTATTCTTCATTGATGTCTTCACATTTTTTAATTGACGTCTTTATTTGCCTCACAATCATTATTATTGGATTTCATAGACCTATTAACTGAGGATCTCTGAGGATATGGTATTACTGTTGTTGACAAAGATGAACAATCATTACAAACTGAAATGATATAAAATCCTCGGTCACTTTTTCTAAAAGATCATCTGCACTGTTACGGGCCTTAGAGTAGTATCTGTTCTGTTCTGCAACAAGATGTTCCGTTTATCTTTATCATCCCCACTGCATCAAAATGTCATTAAATATTAAATGATGTTTGCAAGGATTAATGATCAATGTGGCACATACTTATATTATATGTAATTTTACATTCCTTGAATTTTCATGCTTTGCAAGAACCTGCAAAATTTAAGGGTCTGTTTGTTTCAATGTTATTTAAATAATATTGTTATTTAGATAACAATGTTATTCAAATAGCAATGCTATATCTCAAACGCTATGTTTTGTCCTCTCGGAAGTGAACTCTTATTTAGAATAATTAATGGTTATTAGTTTTTTTTTAAAACCATCAAGATTGCAGTAATCAGAATACTATCCTATTTTCTGTTAATTAGATTACCTTAATCCTAATTACAAATACTATTCAAATCACCTTTATGTGAGAGATAGCATCAAACTAAAAATCTCATTAATAACACCACATTATTTCTAAGAAAATATTAAACCAAACAACCGCTAATTACTTTTCTACTCTATTGCATTTGGTTTACCTTTGACTGCAGACCATACTTCTATCCATCTAACCTTAGAAATTCAAGAAATTATTGTAGTTTGTTGTTATGCTTTTAATCTTTTCTGAAGACATGGTAATGATGTACGTTAAAAGAGACCTTAAACTATTTAGCAAGTGCATTCATGACATATCTCCATGATATAATGTCACGAAATAGCAAAGAATACAACGAATCTTCTAAAAGTCTCTTTTACGTTTGAGAGAGATGAGTTAGATTCTTTTCCTATTTTTTATGTAAATCTTTTTGTTATAGCATAAAGTGAAAACAAACAACTAGCCTAAATATCTAGCCAAGGGGTCTTTTATATTTTGGGTTCTGAATGCTAAATTATTATAAGTATTATTTAGAAAATAGCTACCCAAAGTGTTGATTCATGTGCACAAAAAAAATTATCTTATTTTTCAAGGTAAGCAACTGATCATGAAACTGCTAGAAGGCTCATATGCAATTTTTGAGTTAAGATTACCATGGTACCTTAATCATCATCATCAGCCATATGGCCCTTATCCCAACTATTTGGTGTTGGATTCATGAATCCCATCTTCATTTGGTCATGTTGAGTGTTGCTTGAGATGTCAAAACTATATTTGTTAATCTTTTCCATAAATTCTATCCAAGTTACTTTTATTCTACCACTTTTTTAGTGGCACAACATAATTCTATCTACCTGTATTCTTGGTATATTGTATATGTCCAAATCAACTATGTATATATCCGACAATCGTATTTGCAATAAATGCTAATCATATCTTATCATGAATGTTGTTTAGTGCTTACTGAGCTATTAAACCAATTTTGAGCAAATCTTGTTATTCTATCCAAGTTATCTTTTGTCTTATTTCAATTTTCTTTAGTCTTTTAAAATTAATATTTTCATTCTATTTTATTGGTGCATTTCTTCTATTTATTTTATATGCTCAAGTCCAAATCAGGTAAATCTATTTTTCATTGCCTTACCTTTAATAGATGCTACTGCCCCCATCATTTTCATAAAATTAGTACTCAATCTATACTTTCTTGTTTTTCCATACATCTTAGGATTTTTATTTTGTTGTGCTTTATTTGTCTAGCACGGGCGATTTTATTGATGAGCATTTAGATCCACTCAACTTAGCTAATTTAATTACATTGCTATGAAATTTACCCTTAAATTTTCATGAGATTCTATTATACCTTAATAATCTTTAGGATCATCTCTATTTTAATCACACTTAACTTTAGAAGTTATATCTTTATCTAGATCTCCATTTTTTATGCAACAATCCAATATATTTTGGCACATTATTGCTTGGCATCACTTTTTAGTCTAGTAATATTGGCTAATAATTAGTAATATCACCAGCTAAAATTACATATATTTTCTCCAGTATGTGATGGATAAATCTATCACAACTAGGAATGACCATGGAACATTCCATGTTGATAAATTGGTTGCGAGTTTGTCTTAATCTGACATTTGATGAGTAGCCTAAACTCTAAAGCAATATTATGAAAGGTGAACAGGGCACTTGTCTAGTAGCTCATGTGAGGTAAGGTGAAGCCTTTGTGTCTTATGCACCCTGATCAAGGCATTACTTTTGGTGAGAACTAAGGCACCATGCAGTGTTCTTGTCAGAGAGATGGTTAGAAATACTTAAAACACATTATAAAAGATAGTTTTTGAAAACAATTGTTTGATGTGGTATGATTTCAAAAGTTCACTGGGATTTGGAGAAACAAGATCTGCACTAGGAAAATAGTTTGCTTAAATGAAGGTACACTAGCTTTAATTCTTAAATTGTAATTTTTTCCTTGTCCATTTTTAACTGTTTTTTCTGGCTAGTGAATTTTAGGCCTATCAAATTCTCTATTGGCGTGTCTCAAATTATCTTGCTATCATGCACTGATAGTCTCTTGTTGTCTAAAAAAACAAAAGATCTATATGAACGCATTACCATTTTAGAAGCTTTCACTAGCCATGTATAGCAGTTTTACCTTGGCATTATTGTGTATAACCAACTTCAACAGTTTAATGTCCTTCCCTATTATTTAAGAGATTTGGTTTAACACTCAGCCAATACTCACCATCAATGAATAAAAGTGAGGTAGTCATAAAGCCGGCCCCGAATGGATGGCATAAGGCTAATGATGTTTATGAACACATTATAAAATCTGCAATCCAATTTGCTAAAAAAACATTTCCATGTATTTAAACCTTTTGTCTTGGTTTACAATTTTGGTGACATGTATCCATACTCTTTGTTAATGTGCTATCTATATTGTCAAGAAGGTCCTATTTTTGTGCTAGAGTTGCTTTCTCTATCTTTATGATCAAGGTCCTATTTTTACCATCCATGGAATACTTCTTATGATGTTGTGATGACATTAATGCAGTGCTTTTGATCTTGGCATATGGTTTCTATTACCTTAGCAAATTTTGATGTAATCATTCAGGGATTTACCCTACTCATTATTCGAAATGTTAAATTTTTTTTGTAGCCGGTTCAGACGACAGAGGAGACCAGGCAGATAATGATGCAAGAAATTCAACTGCAAGTATCACAAGGGAATGGTCAAGCTATTACTCCTTTCAATGGTATGAGTGCTGCATTTTCCAATGCACCAGTTTCTCCCCCTGTTCAAACAATTCCGTTGCAACAACACCATCAGATTTCTCAACAGCCTCATATCCTTGGCAACCCTAATAACTCTCTCGGTCAAGGCACCAACCATTCAGGCTCCCAACAGCAACAGCAGGCATATATCCGCTTTGCTAAAGAGAGTCAGCTCCAACAACGGATTATGCCTCAGGCTCAGCTTCCATACTCAGCTTCTTCCTCCATGTCTCCTATGGAAACCAATTCACAGTTCCAACAGCAAAGCCAGTCATCTTCACCTGTAAATTCGATTGCTTCATCACAGCCACAGCATAAGCATCAACCCATGCCTCGAAACCCTCAAACCAGCGGCATGATGTCAAACCAGATTATGAAGCAAAGACAAAGGCAACAGGTTCAACCACAACAACAGCAACCAAGGAATCTGCAGCATCAAAAGCAGCAGGCACAGCAGCAGGCTAAACTTATGAAGGGTTTGGGTCGAGGAACCATGTTGTTGCATCAAAACCTACCCGTTGATGCCACCCAAACCCAAGTTGGTGGCCGTTCAACAGCTCCCAATAACCAGGCCTCTGAGAAGCTTCTGATGCAACAAAGTCAAGGGTTTAATCCTGTTAGTACAGGAGTAAATTCAAATCTGCAACAACCTTCAATCTCGCAGAAGCTGTATTTCCGTCCACATCCTCCTCAATCAAAGCAAGTACCACCTATGCCTTCTCATCCTGATAACAATCAAGCTTCAGTACAGGCTCCTCCAACTCATTCCATACGTGCTACTCAGCAATCAGTCCCCGCAACACCTCCAGCTACCCAGCAGCAACAACAGCGACAGGCTAATCAATCACCAACAAACATGCAAAGAATAATGCTTCCACAGAGCCGTCAGTCGAACCATGATGGTAGAATACAGTCCATTAATGAATCAGTCCAAGTGAATCAAATGATTCCATCTTCATCACTTACTAAAACTACAGATTCTTCTAGTCTGCCTGGTGTTGTTTCATCAGGAGTCCACTGGAAGCCAGAATCATCATCTGAAACATGCGCAACTGGTGAACAAGCTCAAATGGCTGCCATTCCTCAGGAAAATTTTACCGGGAGTGATGCAATGATACCCCCTTCTACCCAAGGTTTAGTACAGAGGCAATTATCTGGTAATATCTCTATGCATGGTCATGGTCTTGGGGGTCAATGGCAACAGCAGCATCAGCTGCAGCCATCGTCTCTACCTCAGCAGCAGTATCGGCAAGGCGTACAAGGAAACTTATACACACGGTCTTCAAGCACAGGACAATGATGATCAGGAATGATCTAGGACCTAGCAGCATGAAGCTGCTCGATCAGCTTTTGTAGAAGTACTGTACAGGTAAAGTAATTTTAACACTACATAGAATCTGTGCGGATCTGGTTTTAAGCATTATCTTACTCTTTATCATGTTATAAGAATGAAGGAACACCTCTCAAATTGCGATAGTGTAGGAGTAAAATTGCCAAGGAAAAGAACCCATTAAATTACTTTTTCTTCCCAAGATGTTTATTCTCCCTTCTACCTTTTTTCTTTGAAAAGTTATTGCTTCTTTGGTTTCCAAAATGGACATCTGTAGCTTTCTCCTAGTTTTTCATTCCCAGATTTTGTCTTCGTTCGGTTGCGTTAGACATTTTGAGTAGCAGATTCAGACTAGGCATCCAATTCCATTAATGTAGTAGGTAATGATGGAAGATATCTTTTCTAAGGAACTTTGCTTCTTGCACCCATACACATTGTATCAACTACTCTTATGACATAGTAAAAGACTTTTAAGATTGAACATGAGACATCCTTTTATTGAGGTATTTATTAATACAAACTATTGATAAAAATGTTACTTTACATTTCTCTAACCACACAGCATATCTTCTACTAGTATTAACAACATATTTAAGGAAGGTGAAGAATATTTTTACTGTTTTTTTAAAATTAATCTATTAACTCATTAATAAAATTTTCTATAAAGAAAAAAGAAACTTACTGTGAGTTGATTCCTAGAGAAAAACTTAGTGCCACAACATAGACCAGGAACCATATATATGCACTTTAGAAGCAAAAAGAAAGTAACAAAAACTAATCTCGAAGATAATAAATGCCAACTTTCAATAATTTGTTGAAGGAAAAAATTATAATTTAGAAGATAAATCAACTTAATGTGGGATTTAATGTCTAATTGGATTATGAAAATTTTCTAGAGGTTTTAAGAGAGTTTAGAAGTAATTCATATGTGCATAATGAAATTTAGAGGTGTAAGGTAGACTTGCTTTGAATCACTAAACAAAAAGCTGCATATATATATATATATATATATATATATATATATGGGTATTTTAGACTCTAAAGTTGACCTCCATAAATCAAGTTTACCTTCAACTCCCTCTCTAGTCTTATCAACAAGAAGAATATCATCAGCAAAAAGCATGCACCAAGGTACATCCTTTTGCAAATGTCTAGTGAGAACATCCATGACTAAAGCAAAAAGATATGGACTTAAGGCTGATCCTTGATGTAATCCAACCGAAATAGGAAAACACTTGATCAAACCACCTTGTGTTTGAACATAAGTAATAACTCCTGCATATATATCTTTAATGATTTGAATATAAGCATTATTAACTCCTTTCTTTTCAAGAACTCTCCATAGCACTTCTCTTGGAACTTTATCATATGCTTTATCTAAATCAATAAATATCATATGTAGATCCTCCTTATTCTCTCTATATTTCTCCATCAAATCTCTCAATAAATGTATAGCTTCCATAGTAGACCTACTCGGCATGAATCCAAATTGATTTTGAGAAACATTAGTATCACGCCTCAACCTATGCTCCATACCTCGCTCCCATAGTTTTAAAGTATGACACGTTAATTTAATTCCTCTATAATTCGCACTCCTGTGCATCACCTTTATTCTTAAAAATAGGAATTAACACACTCATTCTCCACTGATCTGGCATCTTTTTAGTCTTCAAAATAGTATTAAAAAGTTTAGTAAGCCAAGAAATTCCTTCATCTCCTAAGCATTTCCACATCTCTATTGGAATATCATCAGGTTCAACAGCTTTTCCACACTTCATTTTCTTTAAAGCATCTCTAACTTCGGTTTTACTTATATGCCGATAAAAACAGAAATCTTTATTTTCATTTGGGGTGATAAAGTAACGAAAGTCAATCATATTTTCACATTCTGCATTAAAAAGTTTAGCAAAATACCTCATTCACCTTTGTTGATATTATCTTTTAAGAAAAGTACTTTTTGATCTTCATCCTTAATACACTTCACTTGAACTAAATCCTTACTACTCTTATCTCTTTGTTTGGCTAACTTAGACATATATCTTTCTCCCTCCTTAGTATCTAATTTATTATATAAATCATTAAAAGCTAAACTCTTTGCATCGCAAATAGCTTTCTTAGATTACTTACGAGCCTCTTTGTAGCTTTCCCAATTATCAGAATTTTTACATCTAAACCAATTTTTATAACAAATCTTCATATTTTTTATATTTTCTTGCACATTTGGATTCCACCATCAATTATTTTTACTATTAGGAACTTTTCCCTTTGAAACTCCAAGCACATCTTTTGCAATATTCTTAATATCACAAGTCACTTTTTCCCACATAATATTGACATCCTCATGCATAGACAGAATCTTAAGATCTAATATCTTACTCTCAAAAATACTTCTATTAATATTTTTTTTAAATGCCCCAATTTAATTCTAGAAAATAGTTTTACTATATTCTTTATTTTTTGCTCCTTCATCTTAAAGTCTAAAACTAATAATCTATGGTGGGTACATAAATTTTCACTCGGAATAACTTTACAATATTTGCAATCTAAACGATCTAATTTTCATATAAGAAAATAATCAATCTGCGTTTTACTATATCCATTTTTATAAGTGATAAAATGCTTATCTCTTTTCTTAAATAAGGTATTAGCTATTAAGAAATTATAAGCTAAAGAAAAATCTAATATAATATTACTATCTTCATTTATCGTTCCAAACTCATGGCCACCATGGATGCTTTTAAAATCATCTACCTCTCTACCAACATGTCCATTTAAATTTTCTCCAATAAAATTTTTTTCTTCAAGAGGTATATTTTGTATAATTCTTCTAAGTCATTTCAAAATTTTAATTTTGAACTCATATCCAAACCTACTTGAGGAGCATAAGCACTTATAATATTAACAATCTTTGCATCAACAACAATCTTTAAAGCTATAATTATATCTCCAATTCTGTTAATTTTTATAATATTATCCTTCAAACTCTTATCTATAATCACACCTATACCATTTCTAGTACGACTGCTACCCGAATACCATAATTTATATCCTAAACTATTAATCTCCTTAGCTTTCTCTCCAACTCATTTAGTTTCCTTAATGCACAGAATATTTATCTTCCTATGAATCATAATATCTATTAATTCTATTAATTTTCCTGTAAGGAAGCCTATATTCTAAGTTTCTATCCTAATTTTAGTTTTATGGACTAGCTTTTTTGCCCACATCCGTCCTTGATGTGGGAACTTTTGCCTATTTAACACTGCGCCCGGGCGCCGGTGCAGCGGCCCTTGCACACTTGTCACTGTATTCAGGCCATACAGCGTGTTGCTTCCAGGGGATATTAACACAATTTTTTAAAGGTTTTGAAAAATTGCTTAAAGTGAAAATAAAGGTTAAAAATTATTTTTTTATATAATACTCAAAAAATATGTTAAAAGATAACATTAAATTTCTATTGAACTATAAAATAATAAATTTACATATATATGAAATAAAAAAATGCACAAGATGTAAAGTGATCAGTGATAAATTATGTGAAATAGATTTGAAATTCAAATATTACAAGAGCAAAATAATAGTAAATATAGAGATTGTATAGAATTATTATATAATATCAAGTTCAACTCCAAATTACTTCTTTTTCAATTCCCTGCTCATCCACATTTTATTCCTCAAGAAAGTTGAAATAGTTGGCAAAAACTTGAAATCATATACACTATCATCATTGAGGAGATCTTTATTTGAATTGTCATCATAACAAATTAGTCTTTTCCGTCCTTCGTCCCGTGAAGTCCAATGCCTCCAATATGTTTCTTCTTCATTTAGTTCAATTATCTTCTTCTTTCATAAATATTTTTCATCAACATAAAGATAAAATTCAAATTTCAAAATTGTTTAGAGCAAGGTAGTGGTGGTGTGCGGCTTTTAAGTGATCTCCGACGGTGGCTACAACAATGGTGGATGTGGCAAAGGCGGCGTATTTGAGGCCAAGGCAGTCGAGTGGAAGTTGTTTTGGCTCGGGAGTGTATGAAGGCGTGATTTGTTTGGGGCATTAGCGAGTTGAGGCACAAGACTTATAAAAAAAGCATGAGGCGTAAGCCTCGAGGCATTTTTCTCTGGAATTACAAAAATTGTCTAAAATTTGCCCTCATGGCCCAAAAGTTATAATATAATGTAAACACTAAAATAAATACATACGTTGGTATCTTTCATGGTGTAAGGTTAATATATTCTTTGTTACTATATATTTCATCTTTTTTATCAACCATACTCTCTCTTCCATCACTAAATGTGTAGCAAATCATTCATCAATCTGAGTTTTACTATATCCATTCTTATAGTTGTATCAGCGCAAATTTTGCCTCCTTAGTAGAATTTCAAAGCATAAAATCAAATTGATTTTTTGTTTTGAAGTTTTTTTCCTCTCCCAACTAATGGATTTGATTATTCTATGATTACTGAAATCCTAGGGATCTCTTTTACTCTTAAAGTACAGATCTCAAAATGCTTCTCCTATCATTTCAATCCTTGTCGTTAATCAGAACTTTTTAGAAATATTTGTTAATCAAACTACTTTAATATCTCCTATAACTCTCGAAATCTCATTCGACATCACCTTTGTGCTTGAAAGTTTTGGTTTATGCTTTTTTTTCTTTCAAAATTAATATCATTTTGGCGTCAATCTATCATATAGTTCATGATTATATTGGCTTTTGCTCTTTAAAAAATGTTCAAATTCTTATCGAGTAATTTCTCCATATAAGCTTTTCAACTTTCTTTAATACTTTAATTTTTGGCTATTACTTCGTTTGATAATGCTTTTCTGGCCAGTGTAGTCATTTTTTAGATGCTAAGTAAGGAGCAAGCTAACTATTGTGAAAGTCAAAAAGAACTTTTTAAGAACTCTGAGTTGGGTAAATGTTTTAGGAAAGTGTTTTTCTGGATTTGGGTTTGTCTAAGTTTAAAGAAGAAAATTGATAGGAAACACTTGTAGATCTCAAGTATTTCCTATCAATCTTCAGAAAATAACAAGCATT